GTAACGATGGACGAGATGCTCCAATCCCGGGCTGCAGCCCGTCGTCGTGGGAGCGACGATTATTTAGAATCCGCGGGCTTCGGTGCTAATGTCTCTCCCCCCCCCCTCCCGAACAATCTCGTGATTTTCCACAGCGCATAAAAGCGCTACGATGTTTGCTGTCTTTAATGGCACATAACGCCGTTACAACCTCCTCCATGCGCGTATTCGCCGTGTGACCATCCGCCATCTTTATCTCTTTCTTTTTTTCCCCCCTTTTTTCGCTTCCCTCTCGCCGCCCCGCTCTCGACGCGATAATTAACTTCGTCTGCGATAATATTCGCGGGCACGCTCGTATTTTCCCGAGATTAGCGCGTTTGGAGACAAACGGGCGAACTGTACCCCGCGTGACAGGTGCGAAGCGAATTTCAAGCATGAAGGCTGAATCTGCAGTCGGAACAGATTCTTACAGATCCTTTACATTGTCAACACAAGACAATGAATTGTTTAAGCGTTAAGGGGAATACTTTTTGCATATGACGTCCAGGCGTACAAGCGATTTCTTCGCGGAGCGCATGTGAAAGATGACGGTTTATGTCTGCCATATATTATCTCTCTCTCTCACGTTACGTTCCTATATATATATTAAACAAACTAAAACTAAGATGTAATAAAAAGTAATTTTTTTATAAGCGTAATTATTAATTTCCAGACAGGTCTTGATCATCAAGATCCACATTCGAATCTTTGTACTCAGGCCAACAATTTCCATTTGGCACTCACGATCAGTGAACAAAAGGTCTCACTGTCAGACGCAGCCCTCTCGAGAAGAAAGGCCTCGAATTGGAATGGCACCGAAACAACGGGGGTGACCCGTCCTTTATAATTAGAACTGTCTTTCATCCCTAGGTCCGAGAAGACTCGCGGGGCGGTTTGCGCAAGATTCCTGGAAAGTCAGCGTGCCGCGCCGATCTGATCCCCGGAGCGTTGAAATCCAATGCGGCTATCATCTATTTTACACAGGGTGTGCACCGCGATGCGCCGGGCGGCGCGATAGCACGTGTCGTGATTGTAGTTTATGGGGAGCTGATTGCGGGAGCGTGGGATGAGCGGCGACGCCCGGTTGGTGAACGGTGGACGGGCACCCGCCGTGTCCGGACGCCATTCATCGGTGTACTTACACGTATATCCATTCCGGTGTCAGTGTTTCGTTTCGTAATCATTAAGATATGCATTATCCCCCTAATGACGAGCGGCGAGGCGCAACAGCGTGTCCGATCGGGGTGACTCTCCGCGAAGCGCGGCGAGGGCGCGCATAAATTTCGCGTAAAAGGGCTCTCCCTTCTCGTCTTCCTTCCCGATCTCTCTTTCTTACCCGATCTCGATGCTGATTAATGCGGATCGCGCGTCGACCGGTCCCGCAATTAATTAGCTCTCTCGTGATTCTCGCGGGAAATCCCCGACGTTGATCGACGTGGCGGTTAATGTGCGACTTCTCGACTCGGATACGTTAAATCGCCTCTCACAACGTGAGATATACCTGTCGTTATCGCGTGTTGACACTGTAAATTGCAGTGGTTCGATTTCGATTGCGTAAATGAGTCCGGGATGTTTTAGACACTTCTTGCAAATTGTTCAGAATTCCAAGAACGTGAACTATTGAGAGAAGTTCAGCTGTTTTTTGCTTAATATTTTGTTGTTTCTTGTTCAGGGGCATCTTTAATGACGTTTCCTTTGATAACATATCATCTTTTTATAAATGAGTTCAGGATGTTTAAGAACCTCATTTTGGGCCCCTCACATTTAGTAATGAGTCGCATATTAATCGATAGATATTATACGTATAATAGACCATGGAAAATGTGACATCCGTTGCTGAATATAGGTCACCGGAATTCACAAATCGTTTAAGAAGTTAATTTTTTTCATCTGACAATTCTAATGAAATAAAAATGTTATTTGCCATTGAATCGAATGAAAGAATTCCATTTAATACAGAATACCCTTTAGAAAGAATTACATTTAGTTTTTAAATGTTTCAAAGAGTATGTATCTCTGAACGGCGTCGACTTAGAGGAATATCCGAGGGAATACCTAGGTCTATGGAATATTTTGGTCCTCTAACAATAATTTTTCATTTTAGCCAAGTCACTAGACGCAAGAGGTCCAAAATCTATATAAAAATACACAAGATACTTTATAATGACACTTATTGTGAATTGTTTTAAATTCTAAGAACTGTGAACCATTAAAATTCTTCTGTCTTTTGTCTTAAAATTCCATTGTTTCTTGTTCAGGATCGCCTTTAAAGTTTCTGGTTTCATTCACTGCACCCATCTTGGATGACGTCAAAAGCGAGAAAATACATGAAAATCTTTGCAACGTATAATAAAATTAAAATATTTTTCAATTATATGTATAAATAACGTTTTTAAAATATATGGAAAATTTCCCTTTTATTTGGATGAAAATAAGCTGTTTGACAGCTGCCGACTTGAAATAAATATTTGCTTTTACGTATTAAGTTATAACAAAATGGGAGTCTCTTCAGTTTATTTTAACACTATTCTTTTAAATATAAAAACACTGCACTAAAACGAAAAATTATGCTGTACGTTGCAAGAATAATTTATCTTTTTAACATCACGCCTTATAGTTCACAATTTTGCCAAGAGTGACACTGTGAGTGTATACTGTCAACGTAGACTTGACAATCCAGCTAGCAAAAGCCTTAATGACGTTTTCTTTGATGATATATCATCTTTTCGTAAATAAGTTTGGCACGTTTAATTTTAGAACGACACTTCTTGCAAATTGCCCCGAATTCCGAAAAACTGTCTGTTGTGTCTCGCCGCAAAATTCCATTGTTTCAGAATTGTCTTTAATGACATTTTCTTTGTGTCAACCTCTCATCTTTCAAACTACCTGTATTTAAGAGCCGTAAACCGCTGGAAAATTCCTATCTTCGCTGGAAAATTTTACTGTTCCTTATTCCGGAACTGTCTTTAACACATTACGATGTTTCGTCACTATACGGTGCGCGATGCGGCGCATCGTTTCGAGCGTTACTCCTGTGCGAACAAACAGAATTATCGTCGTAGCCGATACGCGTCAGGGCTTGACGCGTGTATTAATGCGGTGCGGATCCCAAGGCCCCATTGTGCCAGATTGCGATGCTCGTCCGAGCGAGTCCTCGCGGCTTTTCGGTCGATGTCCGAAGTGATTACACGCGAATCAGCCGAGGTAGCTTCGCCGCGGCGGGGAGCCCGTCCGAAATGTCTAATGTCCCAGGAAGGAAGAAAGAAACGGAGATGCGTGCTCCGCATGCGGCTCTAGGACCCTGCAACGTGTTTCTCCTTTTATCTTCTTTGAAGCCGACTTGCCAACCTGATGCCTTTCCCATCGCCCGCTTTCCCCGTATGTCCATCCTCGACGATTCTGATGTACGGGGTTGAAGTTACGACGATTGTTCTTCTTTTTCTTTTCGTTTTACGGCATTAATTACACGGGGATGTAACGATATCGTCGCGATCGCGATTACACGCGGCGCGCCGGCATGGGCATGAGAAAAATCAAAGACGCGGAAAGAGAAGCGCGTCCGTGCGGAATGCCGATTTCGCCGCCGCGCTCTGTTCCATTTTCCGCCTTCGTCTCGGGCGGAAGCTTCCAGCGGCGGACGCGGCGGAATCCCGCGATTCAATTAAACGCACGATTACTCGGCAAACGTTAATTAATTTTAATTAACGATGCGCGCCGAATCGCGACCGCGGGATCGTGTAAAGCGGCCCTCTCAGAACCTCGCACGATCTCATTGGCGGGATCACGCGATGCGTGATGGCACACGGAGGCGGTCGGGCGGGTTCCGCGACGAGAGTGTCGACGGCCGCGCGCGGCACTCGTGTGAATCAAAGGGAGATTAGATATCGTAAATTTGTGTCGGGAGAGCCCCTGGTTCGGCCCGTTACGAAATCGACGGTGGATTCATAAGTTGTATCGTCGCGGTGCGCTGCTCTGAAATCTGCAACTAATTGCGGCATTGAAACCTCGTATTGGACAATTAAGCGGCGTGCGATATTAATATGCTATTAAGTAATATAATATATTAATATTACGTTTTTTTTTGTAACAATATTATTCCGTCGAAAAATATAAAATTAGATCAGCGAAAAGTTATAAATATATTTACGATATGTATTAATTGTCGAATTAGAAATCAATGAAATTATTTGCAATAAAATCGTACAGCATGTTAAGTATTATATAATATAAATGTTACATTTTAATAACGTGATTTAACAATCTTAACGCATGAAGAATGTAGAAATAACAACATTTTTGTCTTAAATTATAAGAAATTATTATGGATAAATTATTATGGACAAATATTAAATACTGTGGATAAAACGAGCCTACGAGGATAAACTATTGTTTATACTTATAGCATGAATGAAAAGATAAGAGCTAATTAGAATTATATGTTCTTCATATTTATCAGCTTATAGGGATTACTATAAAATCAAGATTGACGATACACTTTTCTGCGAGTCGCGAAAATATTGAACGCGCCTGTGAAATCTGGATCTCTTTTCGAAGACGAATCGCGCGAGCCACGTCAAATCCGCAAAAGAATTCGGCGTGGATCGATCGCGGGAAGCTCGCGATCGCGCGATGTCGATATCGCCGGTCATCGGGAGGGTAAGTCGAGCGCGGACACGACGCGACGACCGCGTGGTGTGGGTGGTGTGGTGGAGGAAGGTCTGTTCTCCAAGGCGGAGTTGGACGTGCGACCACCTCCAACGCGGCGAGATCACCTGGCAGGTGACCAATGCAGCGGCGCCGATAAAAGCCATGAAAGAGCGCGGCTGGGACCGTCGGCTGGTCGCTCCTCAAAGGGGCCCCACGACGAAGGCGGAGCCTTCCGTCGGAGGCATTCCTCCTTTCGTGCCTGCCTTTCGTTTCTTTTGCGTGCCCTCGACGATCACGAGCGCAGGAACCGGCAGTTCGAGCCGAGACCCCGGAGCCAACAGGTCCCGTCCTGCTTTGCGTCAAAGCGAAAATTTAAAAAAAAAAAAAGAAAAAGGGCGACGCGAGAGTGTCCCCCTTACCGTTTCGGCCCCTCGCGGTGGAAGCGAAGTCGGGTGTCGCCGTCGTCGTCGTCGCTGGACGTTGCTTCGTCGTCGCGAGAAAGTGAGGATTCGACTTGTGACTCTCGGATTGTGAGCAGGACTCGAGATCGACGGAAGTGACGATCCTTGGTGTGGTTGGTGCTGCTGGTGACCGAGAAAGAGAGAGAGAGAAACGGGAAGAGATCCTTCCTGGAAACGGGAACAGCTAGATGGCAGTCAGCACTATCAACATGGCACCCTACTTTACTGGCTATCCCTTTCAAGGTAAGACTTTTAATAATTGTGAAGATACTTTATGCAAAACGTGAAGACTTTATAACGACTTTATAAATCCCCTCCTCCTCCCCTATGGATATCTTAATTTCTAATTATTAATTTAAAATTTTACGTATAGTCCACAACATACAATACAACTCTGAAGATTGTGTAAAAGATGCTTAAAATTACCTCTAAAAGATTGTTTAAAGAAAAGACACTTTGCAGTTTGTGCGAGAAATGGAATTCTAAATAATTTGCTGATAAAATAATAGCGGCAGAACGCTCACGTTTCCTAATGAACCATGCGTTGGTCCACAAACATCATACTTGCCCATTTATGTAACAATATACTATAATAGTAATATGCAAGGATAAAATAATTAATGTAATTTTTTAAATTGATTAAAGCAATCTGTCTCGAATTGCTTTAAAAATTAGTTAACTGTCAAAACAATTTTCGCAATTTTGTAATCTCGCTCTTCTGTACAAAAATTAGAGACTTTGTCTTCGGCGCTTCTACAAAAATAAATATTGTATGTTAATTATAGTATAATTAGATACATTTATTTCCACGAAATATAAATCCATTGAGAATGCGCGTCATTTTTATGTGTGAATCGAGTTTTTGACAATTTACGTGCTCGTGTTTAGTACATCTAAGCTTCACAATAACACAATTTTTTTCCTAAAAATTTATTTTGATGTTTAATTTTGTAAAGGCAAAATAACATCTTGCACTATTCTTAGAAACTCTTCCTCATGGAGAATATCTCGCAATTAACGTCAGCGCGAGTTTCATGACGACGCTCGACGCCCGCCGGCATTTCCGCGGTGATGCCGCAGATATTTTACAACCGATGTTAATGGTTTTACGATGCTCTTTGACTGAATTATTCGCTGTCCGCCGGTGCGTGCGTGTGCGACTCCCGATGAACGACTCTGCCATCTTTATAACACCGTTACTGTCCGATTCGTGCGTACAATCGGTCCGGCCGATTAATTCAAAACCCGAAAGCTTATCACCTCCGCGAAAAACTTACGGTAGTTGGTGCCGTTACGTAATCTAGATGTAAAGATTAATTCGTGTATACGTCGGTGTTTTGCAATGTAACGCGTGGCACGTTGACTATGGTGATTTAAAGGCCTGGACAGAGAGAAAGAGAAAGAGAGAGAGAGAAAGAGGAAGAGATTGTGCATAAGTAATCGCACAGAAGCTCGTACGTCGTTTTGCATTGTGTAATTTATGAGTCATGGAACAGTGCGCAACGCTGACGTATAAATTTTGAGGGGCAGTTTGAACCGAGGGGTAACGGACGTAACGGACCAATATGCTATTTTCATTTTTTGTGATTTATTATGTATGTAATTGAAGAGACCAACACTCTTCGTAAAGAGACAATAGAAAAATGGTATGACTCTCTTGGGTTTTATTTCAATTATTCGATAGTTTACACAATGATATTATAATCATTTATCATTCGGGGTCCTCTTTCTGCAGTGTGTAGAAAGAATAAAGAATGAAAATGAAAAGAGAAGCTAATTATTTAGCTCTTTTATTGTTATAATAATAAACACAATGATATGTTATTGTTATTCTTAATAGATTTTACTTATTTTCTAGAACTAAATGGTCAGCTTCTCCTTTACATTCTTATCCTTTATTCCTTCTACACAATGCAGAAAAAGGATCCCGGAATCCGGATGGTGAACGATCCGGATCTTTCACTCACGTGCGCCTTTAAATCTCGGTTGTTTATCCATCGTTCCGAGGAAAAGAGAGAGAAAGAGAAAAAGAGAGCGAGAGAGAGAGAGAGAAGAGGATGGCCACTTTCGAATAAAGTCTGATACACAGGTCCGCGTATAGTGGGCGTCGGATCATTGGAAAAGAGTCCCGGGGTGGTACCCGTATCCCGTACCCGTGGGTACCTAATGTCTGATATCGGATAGGCCTCGGGCGACGGCACGTTGATTGAAGTCCTCGCGCGACTCGGAACTCACACCGCACGCACTGAGTACATGCATCCCTTCGGTACATGCGGTTACTCCCACTCAGGTACGCGCGTGCACCTTCCGCTCTCATCTCCTCCGATTCTCCATCTGGGGGACCGATCGCCGCATTCGTATCACGGTAGATTGCGTAATCGACGCAACGGAACTTTCGTCGCTCCGCTCGGTGCCTGCGAAATTGACCCCTTGCTCTTTCTCTCTCTCTCTTTGGAATCGTTTCGTACGCGCGCCGCTCGGCAATTATCGTTAAGCTCGTCGCGGAAACGATATGGCTTTTATTTTATATTGATATACTTAAGAATTAATGCTATATAATAACACTTTCTCATATAAATTTTTAACAGTATCTTTTTCTATACCTTCTTCAGTTACATAATTTGTCAACATGTACACAGAGAAAAAGAAAGTGTCAAATCAAGACTTATAATACTCATGTATACGCAACAATCTATAATTTTATTAAGAATTTCAACTTTTTATTTTAACTTTTTTTGGTTCAACTAAATAAATGACTTCATTTAAGCAAATTTTCTTCGTTTAACGCAATAATCTCAATCAAATAATCTCATTTCACGTTGAAACTGAAGATATCTTTAAATCAAGAATATTCTTTTTTTCTGTGAAAATTTTTCTTTTTGCTACTCTTTATGTATAAAGGATCAAATATAAATATATACAGTATGACCCATTTTAAATGCCCACTTCAAATATCTCTTGAACAATACATTTTAAAGAAAAATGTTTCAGATAAAAGTTGAAGGGTTCAAAGGGGGCTAATAGACGATCTTAGATTTTGGGTCCGGGGCTCGCGTGTTGAGCCCTAATATATTTTTTTATATTATATATTAATACATAATGTAATATATTGAGAGATTATATGAATCTCTCTCAATTGTTTCCCAAAGATTGTCGAGCCACACGGTAATCAGAAACGCCAGATGAAACGATGCGCGATCGAAGTGGCCTCGAGAGGGGCTCCGTTGTCGTAATTGGATGATGATCAGTTACAGCTAAAAGCCTCGAATAACAAATTTAGCGATCGTATCCCGTAATTCCTGCGGGCCGTGAGACGCTCCACGTACTTCATCACGCGAAAATTGGAGCGATCGCATACCTCGATGCCGATCCTTAATGAGATTCAATTAATACCCGGATAACACGTTGTTATTACCGTTTAAGAGCGAGAAGGGGTCTGCCGCGACAAGGGGCACCCGGGATCATTACCATAAAGAAAAGTCTCGTAGAGAGCGTAATTGCACGGCTCGCGGCTCGTGAACCGCGGTAGTGTCGCGGCCGCAAAGTACAGTGTGCGTCGGAGCTCTTCGCACGTAATAATTTATCGAGGCCGATCAGGGGGGGGGGGGGAAGGAAAAAAGGGTTTAATTGACGTCTCACGACACGCGGGGTAATGAACGGGCGGCCGACGTACGTCGCAATTATTTCGGAATTCTCTAAGCACCTCCGTGTCTAAGAGCACCCTCGGCCCCTACCGGAGGCCGCCGTGTTGCCTCGCAGGTAAAAATTAACGATGCGCGACGCTTCGTCGGGCGAATTCAAATCAGACACGGGTCCACCCCGTTATCTCGTCACGTCCGCACGCGGATCATGGACATTAAAGTCTTGATCGCTGAACAATCAATCACCCGTTATCAATAATTCATGCTGGAAATTATTTCTTTCGACCGTTTTACCGGGCGCGGTCGCGCCCGACACACTCGTACAGGGTGGTCCACCGCGGTGGACGAATCTCGCGAAAATGACTCCGCCGCGCGATCGCGGCCATAATAAATTACGCGAGGACATAAATCATTCGCATCAGCTGTTTGGATTAAATCGTCCTCTCGGGACAATTTTGTTACAGCCCCCCTCAATGCCGCGGCATTTAAAAAAGGGAAATAGTCCGGAGGAAGACGAGGTTTCTTCTCGTTGTTCGAGCGTTCAGCTTTTTTGCTTTTTTACTTTTCATCATCGGACGCTGTTTCGCCGTATTTCAGAATGAAGACAAAGGTTCGTAGATTCTACGGACGTACAAATCACCTCGATTTCCGATCGAAAAGAATAGGTAACTCGGGCTTTTGCAATCGATACCGGGACTAATCGTGCGAGACGCAGTGGGAAACTCCCGCGAACGCACGTTCCGCAAGAACGCGTCGAACAATATTCATCGGTGGATAGGGAACAAAAACGCGAGTAAAGGGCCCGCGCTCGCACGGACGGTAATATTTAACTTTCGATTCCGTGACTCGAGTTATGATCTCCGCTGTTTGTAAGAGCGAGCCTCGCGCGAGAATGCAACGTTCGCGGCGCGGTGTGGCGAACGCATATGCATGCGTATGTCTTGCACGTGCGACGAATAGTAGCCTGGCATTCCTGGCATTTGCCTCGTGCCTCCACACGGATTTTCTTAACCGTTTTTGTAATCTCGGACGGAGATCTCAATGGGAAAATCTGCTATTAGATTTATCTTCAATTCTCTTTCTCGTGTATTTCCCTTTCATTGATATTAGTGCTTACAAAATAGCTATTAAAATAAAATGCTTTAATTTCTTTTTTTTCTGAAGTTATTGTGGCCTACTGAGACCCCTGTATCTTCTTCCATTTCCATTAATCGCGGTAATTTCTGTACTTTAACATTTTCTTTAATTTTCCTCGGCTAATTATTAAATTTACTTAATATTTCGCTACTCGTCGATTTCTCTCGATCTTTAGTTGGTTCGTCCATTTTTTCAGAAATTTACCACGAATATCCGCGATCCTTACGCGCTTCGCACCGAAAGCTCGTCCTCGTCGTCGTCGGCGGCGGCGGCGGCGGCGGTCGGCGCCTTTTGATCTTGCCTGTAATCCCGTCGGGCCCCGCGGCCTGACTGACGTCATACACCGGAGAGGTGTCCGGCGGGACCGTAACCCGGCCTATACACACTGGCACGGCCGGTGTGTGGTGTTGTGTGTGTGTGGGAGTGTGTGCGTTGCACGCACTCGCGGATATGTCCTTACCGAGCGCGAGAGGGTCTCAGGGGCAGGGGGGCAGCGGCAGCAGGAGGCGCGGGGCGGCGGAGGGGAACGGAGGGGGATGTAAATCTCCGGGGTCCGTGATGAACGACGAAACGGGACTACTTTTGTGCCGGAGAGCTCGACGCGCCCGGGAAGGGGGTCGTCTTTTGAATTACGCCGTGGTAATTAGCGGACTCCTTAGGCCCCGCGCTTCTCGCAGCAGGTAGCCAGCGGAGAATATATCACGAACTGGGCGCTGCGCTAGCGCGCGTCGGTCCCCAATGCGATCGCGAAAATGTTTGGATTGCCGAGGGCTCGCAATCCGCCTCTCGAGCGAATCCCGCTCGTTTTGCCATTAAAACCTGCCGCGATAAACGTAACTTTTTCTTGTTGCTCTTGGATAATTTTGAGTCATCAAGCGTCCTATAAAAGGTAACAGAAGAGGTAGTATAAAGTACACGAGCACTCTAAATATATTTCAAGTATATTACTTCCAGAAGAGATGCCTTTTAAAGGACCTAAAAAAATGATCGAGCAGAAGAAATATATAAATTAACAGTGCAGAACACATTAAAATTGATCGCAATATGCGTATTCGATCTATCATCAGGCTGTAACATCACTGCTGTGAGGAACTTCACGATAATCGGCCAAATTTCCGATCCGGAGCATCGCACGCAGCGCATCCGCGAGACGCGCATGAGCGTGCGTCTTCTCTTATGCAAAGCTTCCTTTATGTAAATATAGGTGCAAACACGCGGGATACGGCTGTGCCCCCGGTTGTCCGTCGAGAGGACTCTCCCATTGTCCCCGCGCGCGAAAGAGAGAGCGCTTTTAAGAGCTCCCCGGGCTTTTAAACGCCGCTTCGTCGTCTCCGGCGCGGCGTCTCTCTCTGTCCCCTTGTGTCCGTGGCTTTTACTACTCCGTGCAAAACCAGAGCCGTAACTCGTGACGCGGTCCTCTTTCGTGGTTTTCTGAAGCACGCGAGGCGTCCACCTTCGCGGCGCGTCGTAAGAGCCACCGCATCCGCGCGCATCTCATTCCGCTTCTTTGCCCCCCTTCGCTGGCCAGGGGGCCCCGCTCTGCCCGCCATTTGTTTGACTTCGTGATTATAATTAAGTTAATTAAGGGGGGTGTTGTGGAAGGGAGGAGTGGGCTAATTACCGGTAATTAGCGGTGTTTGAGCGAAACCTCGCGTGTCGCCGCGCTTTGTCCGCTAAGCGGCCCCCTTTTGCGCGAGTTGACCCTCCCGTTCTTCTTCTTCTTCTTCTCCGCCACTTTTGTACGCGACTCCGCTTATTCTCATTTAGAAAAATGGCTACGCAAATGGCATCACTGTAGCTGCATTGTACCATGGCGCCGAGAAAACTTGTTATTTTTTCTCGGCTTCGTTGCCATCCAACGCACGATAGGTTTTCTTCTCGTTTTACGCGGTACAATGTATTTACAATGCACTATATTACATATACGTGTATACATAGTTTCGAACGTCGATAATTGCTTTGTAGAAACAATTCACAGAAACCGTATTTCTGTATTTCTCGCGCCGGTAAATTACGTCTCTTAAAGTGACGACTCCGATCTACGCCGTCTCGCGTCTTTGATGTCTCCGACATTGAAATTCGCGTGACGATCTTTTACCTATTCCATTATTATTAAATAATCATGTATGACCCGTCGCTGTCGTATTGTGGAAATAGATGTGTACCGGACACCGTCGCAACACGTGACGAGCCATTATGGTAAACAGGTCTGCGTTTATTACATTTGCAGGACAGGGTCGCGTGAACCAACTGGGCGGTGTGTTCATCAACGGCCGTCCATTACCGAACCATATCCGTTTGAAGATCGTCGAGATGGCAGCGGCCGGCGTCAGGCCGTGCGTCATATCGAGGCAGCTCAGGGTCTCGCACGGCTGCGTCTCGAAGATCCTGAATCGATATCAGGAAACAGGATCGATCAGGCCCGGCGTAATCGGCGGTAGCAAGCCGCGGGTTGCCACGCCGGAAGTCGAGGCGAGGATCGAGGATCTCAGGCGGCAGAACCCTGGAATCTTCAGCTGGGAGATACGCGAGAAATTGATAAAGGTCCGTTGATATCGCCCGTACCATTAACGCTTGTATTTTTCTTTGAAACGAGAGAGGGAAGTATTTTAAGACAGAGTGTTATGGGTCGCTTGTCTTTTTTGGTGAATTAACGTCAAATCCATAAAGTAAACGATGCAGATTTTAATGCATTTAAAGAATTTTAAGTTTTGTATTTTGAGTTTTTTTTGGATTTGCGAGTTTTTTATTTAAATGGTTAAATGTCAAATGTTACAGGTTTAATTTTAAATTTTGTTTTCACGGTTAAATTCTGATTTTGTATTCCGCTTCTTTTTATGTTTCGAATCCTTAATCGCGATTTAAGCTTCGAGTGATTATGTAGGGGGAGTCCGGGAGACTTGACCATAGAGGAGAGTTGAACCACTTCAAATATCTCGTTCAAATTTTGAACAAAGAGCTCAATCCGAGCACGTTAAAACACGTTTGTTTCAATCACAGTCGAAACGCACTACCAATCGTCATGTTGTCACGTGCTCGGATTGAGCTCTTTGTTCAAAATTTGAACGAGATATTTGAAGTGGTTCAACTCTCCTCTATGGTCAAGTCTCCCGGACTCCCCCTATACTAAAACAATATAAGACGGATGTGTTAAAACAAGCGTGTGTAAAATACGATATTGAGCTGTATTGTATTGTACGGAAATCTATCTGTTATCATATTAACTGAATCGTTCGAGTATGGGTAACGTCATATTTAATTCACAAAAGAAATCGGATGAAAGAAAAATTATGCTAACTGGTCCAACGCGGTTCTGCCAGCAGGATGGAGTCTGTGACAAAGCCTCGGCACCTTCCGTGTCAAGTATCACCAGACTTCTTCGCGGACCAGCCAACCAGACGCGTCCCGGCGATGATCTGCGCAGAAATCACTCTATCGATGGCATTCTTGGTGAGTATTATGAGCAACACCTTATGATTATCGCGATCCGATCTACCGAGATCGGATAGTATCAAGATTTTCTACACGGCGAGTGGATCGCCGTCGAAAAAGAGTCTATGTCTGCAATACGTATCGTCATTTTAACACTGCATAAACCACCGGGCGGACGCAAATGAAGCGCCCGGGGTTAATCGAGCGATAAGCGTAATTACAGCGTAGGTAGTCGTACTAAGTTAATTGAGGCAAGGTGGCCGCGCGACGATCGACTGTTTGTAGCTGGCATGCTCGAGGTGCCCGATTCGAAATACGACTCGACATTTTTTTTCATACGCGTAACGCGATCGGGAAGTCGTTAGCGTAAAGTCTCTAAAATTGAAAGTTTTTAACGCCTTATAACTATGAGCTCATACATGAGAGTAATAAGAAGTTCAATTACCGATCGCACCGAAGGATGTTATTACGCGGATGCTTTTCGCGCGACGTTATATCGTTTGTATTTCGTTTATTTCACATTCGTTGGACGAGTCTCGAGACGCGTACGATCGTCTCTGTATATACGCAAGTTCTCCTTATTTGAAGTATCCAGCAGTTTCGTGGGCACGCTGAGAATTGGTAGGAATATAGGTCTGGTCGGCGAACGTAAAGGGGAATTCCTTTCTTTTTTATTTATTACCGACGGTAAGGGGCGCGAAGAAATATTAGGCGTCCCGTGGCGCGTAGATGTGTCGAGTTTATTACCTTCGTCGGGAAGATTTAGTTTTGATTAGACGTATGCCCGAGATTGCAACTTCGCGCGAGGATTCACGGATTGTGCCTGCCAGACCTGTTGCTTCTTTCTGTCGCATCGACCAATCTTTTTACGCTGCTGATATGAAAGCGACTTTCATCTTCTTGACGTTATTCCTATCGTCCGTTAGAAATGTGTTTTCGTGGCAAATAAATATTACAACACGATTTAATGAGATATAAATGAGAACTGAAATAGAATTGGAAAAATGAATAGAGCAATGAAAGAATGGTTACGTCTTCGTTACGAGAAGGTCTGTATTCTAAATAAAGCGATTGATTTATTTTACGATATATTTTACGTGAAGAATCGTTCATAATAAGTCGCGATAAAACTGCCCGAAGGTAGCGATTCAATTACGAATACTTCGATAAAAGTCCCGAGGAAGACGCATAGGATTTTTATTGGGTTCGCCGCGTTTGCAGGCCGGGTAAATTATGTATTATGATTCGAACAAAGGGGAGGAACAAGAAGAAAGTCAGGCGCTATTCCCGCCGCTAATGCACCGCCGCGCGAAAGGAGAGGAGACGGTGGACGAAGAAGAGGAAGAAGAAGCGGGAGGAAGACGCGATTCTTTTTGAATGCGCGTCTCGGACGTAGAGAACCTTCGTTCCTCTTATTCGATCGCAGCGTGATGGTTTAGCACTGAAGTCGGCAATGTATTGGATCGGCTTACGGACGCGGATAGCGTGGATCGGGGAACGCGAGGAGGAAGAGCGAGATAACTTGAGCGATTGATGCACTAATGCGATAATAACACATCATCATAGTCGAGTAACAGAATACGGATAGGGATATATTTTCCTAGATATTTCTCTCTTTCTCTCTCGCTCTCTCTCTCTCTCTACAAGAATACTTGCCGAGTGTTTAATAGCGCACAAATTAAATTTTCTATTAATATATTCTTCTGTCTTATATTAATTACTTTTTTCTTCGAGAAGTTAAATGAATGATGATTAAATATAAAGCGACATTAAATAGCGACAAAATGAGAAATAGCAAATCTAGTAGGATCGGATGCACGATGCAATCAACACGAGGGAACTTAAAAGGTCTCACAAATACACACTTCAATCATTTCGCCCCGCGTCCATTCATCTTCCGCGCACCTTTCTCCCCTCGCCGGCATGTCAGTCCCAGAATGCAAGATCACCCGGCGGTTCCGGTAGCCAGGAACACGCGCGATAAATAACCCCGCGGTCTGTCTCTCCGTAAAAGAAATCGGGAGGAACGATCGCGGAGGGACAAGAGAGAGAGAGAGAGAGAGAGAGAGAGAGGGGCAGATCGGGGCGTAGCGCGTGCAGAGAAGGAGGAAGTCAGGTGGAGCAGAGTCGGAGGAACGTGAAAGAGAAGAAATCGGGTGGAACGACTAAGAGGAGCGAGCAGTCGAACCTGAGGAACGAGACGACGAGGACGGAGTGGCCCCGGCGTGGATTCCACGACGGTGTGCAAGGAGGACGGAGGGGCCCCTCGCGCGCGCATATATATATACCTACGCGGGCACCAACCGCGGCGTGTGGTCTTCCTCGGCTTCGTACCCGGCCGCCTGCCTCTAATCTTACAAACCGCCAACAACACACCCCGTGCCCGCTTGTTCGCGGAACGCAACGGCACCCTCTATTGATTTAGATGCTCTCTTACTGCGGGGCAGACTCGTGATTGAGACCTCCGTCGTTTGCCGCGCCCGGGACGGCGATCGCCTCGCCTCGCCTCGCCGCGCCGCGCCGGTCATCTCGCCGATAATAATTGTTTAGCATCTCGATCTTCCTCGCTGATGTTTACGTCGACGCTTCTCGGCGAACGGCAATCGCGCAAAACGTCGCGCTTGCCATACCGCGCGCTTGATTAAAAGCTACAGAAAGTTTTACAAGTGGTAAATAATCCCGTTATAAGCACCACGACCTTACGCAAAATTATTTCTTCCTTGTATGTAGCATTGATAAAAAATTTCTTTTATTAAACAGTACTATCTATACACGGAGATAATTTTTTGTTATATTTTACCCTTGAATTCACTACAAACTTGGGACAACTTGGCAACCAAAAAATTTTTAAAATGTACAAAAGACATTTTACAAACAACGTGATAAAAATTACCAAGTAGATTGGTAAATTTTGAAAAATTATTGAAATATTCTAGATATATTTTAGTAAAATTAATCAAATATATTTTATATTTTAATGCAATAGATATTAATATTTTTTTATTATGGTATAGATATTAATCAGAATAGCTCGCATAAAATTCTTGGTGGTACATGTTGTCCCACAACTACCATAATTTCAAGGTAAATTTTAAGAGAAAATTCTCTCTGTGTATTTTTATCTTTATGTCACTAAAATGTATAAATAGTAATTTATTCATATACACGATTGCGTGATTTTAATGTAAAACAAGATTTTTACTTGAGACAAATTTAGTAACGTATGCTAGTAAATTTGAGCGTAATTCTAAATTTATTTTCTATTATTATTTTCTGGAAGCTACAGGTGATTGCAATCTATTTTTGATGTATGTGTTCGGTCCCAGATTCATGGAGTATCGACGAGCGCTGATAGCTCCTGAAAAGCGTTAGGATCCCGAAAAATCGCCAGGGCAGGGCATGCTCCTGAAAGTCTCGCGACGATTTACGAGCGAGCGGCAGTCTTTAATCTACCAGGAACCGCCATGCACTTCGTGGTTTTCGAATTCTGCCCGATGTTCGCGCAGGTGCTATTGATTTAGACGTTCATTCCCGTCGGTCGATCGACTTAATCCGCGAATAAGTTTGTAAATTACGGAGTACAGCTGTAAAAAGAGATACAGGACTCCCGACGCTACCTCGATACGCCCAGAAATTGCACGCTATAATCAATAACATATCCATTGCAATTTATAAGAAAATGTGTTCTTATAGAAGGAAACTATTGGTTGTTCAGTAGTAATAAAATAAATTGATAAACTTTATTAGAATTTTTGAAATTAAAAAAAATATGTTAAAATAATTTACATTAAGTCTCATCGGTCTGAGTTATCGATGTAGTTGTTGAGGTGAGCGTAACAGGGACAAACCGTGGAGAACAAATTAGGTCCGAAGGGGTTACAAATCAAACTCGAAATTCCATAAATAGTGTCTCGTGGGGGCCAGACAACGGTTCCCTTTCGGAACGGGCTTTCGTTTAGCTCGGGTGGGACGGGACATGTCAAAGAACTTAATTTCTTCGCGGCGGACCCTAATTTCTCCGGTGTTTTAGTTTAGTATAGGTTCGGCTGGGCACGGCTGTAATCAGAAGGGTCTTAATGGTGGGTTGCTGAGACCGGCGTGTGAACTGTGGGCGTGAACGACTCGCTTCCTATCTTCGGTATCTGACGTGCAGCACGTGCTGGACCGAGAGATGCTCTCGCCGCTATTAAGGAACGCACGCTCGCGTCTCTCCTCTCGGCAACTATCGACGATGTTTTAATGCCCGAGTGTGGAGTATTCGCGTATTTCCTTTAATGTGTCATATTTTTACAATCGACAGGATAGTAAAATGACTTTATCTGTCCTGAGGCGAGCCCGCTAATAATAATACGCAAGCTTCTGAAATGAATATTTAATGACGAAATTGAGTATTTAAACGGACGTGATCTTTGATTATCTTCAGGTGGAAGTAGCGGCGATGATTCCGACACGGAAAGCGAACCTGGCATTGCGCTGAAGAGGAAACAACGCAGAAGCAGGACCACCTTTACTGGCGAACAACTGGAGCAGCTGGAAGCGGCTTTTCATCGGACGCAGTATCCTGATGTGTACACCAGAGAGGAACTCGCACAAAAGTAAGTTTTTTCGTTAGGAATACCTTCTGTTTCACACAAAAATTACGTGTTAAAAAATTTAATTCAAATGTGGCTGAAGTTACACGTCGCAGGAAATTGCGAAATTATAATGCTGTATAGACTTTGCGATAGCGTAAACAATAAATTTGCGTTATTTACATTTTTACTGATATTCGTGGGTGTCCTCTCTTCGCAGAACGAAGTTAACGGAAGCGCGAGTACAGGTCTGGTTCAGCAACAGGCGCGCCAGGCTTCGCAAACAGCTCAACAGCCAACAACTGAACGCCTTCAACATGAGTCTACCCTTCCAGGCCCAACACTACGGCAACGGTGCTGAGAGCTATCAGGGCTACGGGCAGGCGAGTGTTGCTGCTGCCGCAGCAACCACCGCCAGCTATTCTCAGCATTACAACTACGGGGAAAACTATTACGCACAGCAGCAATGGCCGCGGGCGACTCCGGACAATTACGGGTAAGTTTTAGCGACTAATAATGCATTATTTGTCAAATATCAATTTTCCGACCAGAGAGAGTCGCGTTAATAACGGCGTAACGTAGATCACGAAAATAGCTGATTTATTATAATCGGTCCCTCGTATCAATCTTTCGTGTGTTATGGACAAATCTCGTCGGAATTTTTCTTTATTATTAGATATCCTTTCAGCTTCTTTGAATCGTTTTCTTAACGCAAAAATCTAATCATTGCTTGTAGTTTTATCCTTTAAATATTAACGATTCATTTACGCAAAAAACTTTTTTTAATAAATTTTAATTCTAGTATTATTTTATCCTTATTGTTAGCTCATAAAATTCGATAAGGATGGGCTAGGATAAGGAGACGCTATTTAAGTCAATTAACGAAAAAATTAGATGAAAAAATTAGATAAAAAAATTTTCCAGCCAGAGAGGAGTCTTTCAATTTTTAAGGTGGAGAAAGGCTTTTTTTAGTCATGGAGCTTTTTGGCTTTTTATGTTGAAAATTTTGTATCTGATTTGTTTCTTTAACTGACTTAAACAGCCTCTCCTTACCCTATTCGTTTTCCGAGCGATCCGAAGTCACGTGGATGCGTAATCGAATGCGTTATCTCTCGTTCGTGAACACCCCCGCAACGATTATCCGCGATCGATCGTCGCTACCTCGCGGCGCTGCTGCGATCGGTTAAAGCTGGATCACGGGCGCAGGTACATACACCCCGCGCCGAAGGATCAAGACCCAGGGTTGGATTATTAGCCGGTAGCGTTTCATTACGGAGGCCCAAGAAGCAACATAATTGAGGACCACACAGAAAACGTGTCGGCAGGGCCCCGTTGGCCTCTCTTTCTCTCGCTTCCTCGTTCCCCCGTGTGCTCTCCGTCGCTCCCCCTCTCGCTTTCCTCTTTCTCTCCCTTTCTATCTCTCGGCCCCAAGTGAATCGGCTCGTCCGCTCGGCGTGTAACAACACACTGTAGCAACCCGGCCACCGGAGCAACCTGTTATTACGCCACAATGGCTGAATTAATTGTTCGAAACACCCCGGCTTCGCCGTCTTTATCTCCGCGCGTTGCCGCGCGCGCATCTTTCTCGCGGCGATGTTCCGAGCTTACTGTCTCGCTTGGGCCCCTTCGGGGCCCTTGGTACAACAACGGACTGGCTCACCGTGCCGAGCCATCACGTGGCGCGCCGAGCGAAGCTTCGCCGGTTTTAAACATCCGGGATAATACTCGTGGACCCCCGGTGGAGCGTCAGCCTATACCTCGTGGGGGGTCGCTTCTTCTTCGTGGTCGTCGGCTCTCTCGAGTTCGAGCGAACGATTTCGTTGCTGTCGATGGTCGTCCCCGTTTTTTGCAGTTTCACGTTTAGACCAAGCGCAGTAACTACAGATTGTCATATGGAACGGCAAGGAGTCACGTTAACAATGCATTCCATCTGGGAAGAAAATGTCAATGATGGTTTTTCGACTAATGTGAAAACTCTCGAGACGTTGCAAAATATCCTGGTTAATGATGTTTTTCTTAGCAGGAGAAAATAAGTTTTGAAACTCGAAAGTATTCCATGTTCAAATAGTACAGAAGCTGTATTAGCAGGAGATGTAGAAAAGTAACAGTCACTTTAATTCTAACCGAAAAGTCCAGACAAGTTTTAATATCGAGAAATCAAAGGCATTTTATGCAGCAAAATTAACGTTTTTCTGAATTTTCCTAATGGTACGGGAAGAAACTCGAAGTCGGCTTGTCCTTGTCGGGAGAATGTTTAATAGTAAGTTCCATATTTTATTTGACGGCCGATTTTAATTCCGGAGAATCGCGAGCTGTAAATTTCGGTCGTCACTAAATTCTTAAGAATTCGTTAACGCGACCATAGAAAGAAATTTGATTTGTGAGCGGATAGGGAGACATTCTTCTGCATGAAAATAGATTCGTAGGGCGGAGTATGGTCGATAAATCGCGCGGCTTCCGCCAAGAAACGTCGCGCTACCTTCTAAATAAGAAAAAAAAAAGGGAAAAGAAATAAAGTTATAGTGCGAACTAGGCCCAACACCGACGGGATTTAGGGTGCTTAAGCGTCATGGCGAAACGCTCAAAGGGCCGACTTCGTTTTACAATCGTACGCTTTAATCGTCTGAAAATATCGATACGCGTTTCAAGTTTATTTTAATTAAGAATTGATTTCTTATGGCTCTGGACTCTTTGTCTAATTTCATTTCTTACATCAATCGTTTCTTTTTAACATGTCACCAATGCAACGTGTCAATATAAATGTACGTAATTTTACGTTTTAATATCATTTATAGATACTATCAGGAGTTTGAATCTGTTCCTCCAAAAGTCTAAATATACTAAAGGATATGACTGGTTTTCCCCACGCTTCTTCTGTCCATATTTACACATATGCTGAAAAATAATTATATTTATTTTTTAAGTTCTAAGTTTAAAGAATAAACAATATCGTAATAAGAGTAAGAGCTTTACTCAAGGGACAACGATCTGAGATCCTTAATCACAGTAGTGTATGCTCAAAGGGCCGCGACGGTGTTTGAAAATCGGCCGCTGCCGCCCTCGACACGCCCTAACCGATTCGCAGAGCGTGTATGAGTGCGGTATCGCCTTGCAAATGGCAGTAACCACTTTGGAGAGAACCACACGCCGGAATTTCATTTTCGTATTACCGTGGTGTGGACACCTTTCACCATTGTGCGACTCGTTCCATCGTATCGCAATGTATATGTAACTCCCCACGTGTCCGTACACATATATGCACAATAGTTAATTTATATTCAAGATGTCGAATGGAGATATAATTGTGAATATTGGCGAGTACCTAATGTATTTTTTTTTAACAGCCGATTGATATATGCGACTCGTGAGAGAATATTCCTTTTATTATCAATATTTAATAAGCTTGTCGATTGTTACATCATATTCATAATTTCACAATTTTAATAAAAGAATCTTCCCAGGCCTTTCTAAAATTAAGATTGCACGTTGAATACTCTTGCATTGTTAATAGAAACGCACATGTAGCAATTAATAAAAGCCTAATACATTCTCTCATTATTTATGTAATTTGTGTTTAGAAAAAGATTTAGATTCAGATATTATATTAATACAAGATAGAAAAATGTAGAAGTTCTATAATATTATATAATAACCATACAAGATATGTTTGACATAGCTCTACAAGAATCAACACTGTCCGAAATAAATTATATTTTGTCATTTTCACGTCATTTATTTTCTTATAAGCTGACATTCGATCTCGCCTGTTGCAGATTGTTCAACCCCTCCCATTACGGCAGCAGCAACCTTGCCTCCAATCTCAATCTGGGCAGTCTGGGGGGCAGCGTCAGCCCGACCGGGTCCAACATGAGCGCCTGCATGGTGCAAGGTGGTGCATCCTCTTCCGGGGTGCCAGTCTCGACGGGGATGGCGCCCCACGTGACTCCGCACAGCCCCAGCGAGGCGAAGAGCGGATATCCGTACTTGGGCAACATCGATTCTCAGGTTTGCGGAAGAGTTCACTGAATTTAACCACGAGAAACGATCGCACGTCAATTACACGCAATTACAGGGGTTTAAAAAAAAATCGTTACTGTTATTTATTTTGTTTTTTTGAGACTGGATTTGAATTGGTAAAAATATTTGCGCGCGTCTTGTAAAGATTTCTGGTCGAAGTGTACTCTATAAGAATACACTTCTCTTAGCTTTTATTGTTAAATAACTTGTGTTATGTTGTACGTTGTTACTTTTATCAGAAACTAAGGAGATGTTCTTTCGCAATATCGCAATATCATTTCTGGAATGGCTTCCGATTAAAGTAGATGTAAAATGTGTTATATAGTCTTTGAAATTTGGAGAGATTTTCTTTTTATTTATGTAATATCAGTAATTTATGGCATAAGACGCAAAACGATTGTAAATATATCTTAACCGCTTTATAAATAATACGCGGATACGCGTAAGCCTTTCCACGGCGAAGCTACTGCATATTTATGATAGAGTTAAACTCACGTTTAAGTCGTACGCGTAGACGTAGGTAGACCGACTTCCGAGAAGTGTCGTAATTACGAAGATTTATTTGTTAGAGTGATTAGCACTTGGCAGTTGTACAACAATGATGCCTCGGATACTTTACCGCCTTAGAATTGCCTTATTATAGTAATAATATAATGCAAATGTCTCTATATATATATTCACGTATGACTCGCGTATATTTTATGGATATAAAGCTGTATATATTTATGATCGTATTAAATGGTAAGAAAGTTACTGATAAAAATATTCTTATCACAATCGACGTTGTAACATACCTTATTCCCACAAGTTATCCAATTGGCCAGTTCAATTATTGTATATACATCGCACATAACGTGTCGACACGACCAGTTATACCCGATTTGTATAATGCAACGTTATATAAATAAATGGACTATGCGAAAAATCCGTCGTGTCCTTCCACTATACTGCTAATTTCTCTCATCAATAATTCATTCGCTCGCAAGGTAAGTGCACATTTAACTTCCACTTAATTTCCATTAATATCGAATAAAATTGAAAGTTTGTAGGCGTGTAACTGGTAACGGATTTGTTGACTAAAACTTATCACACATATCTTAGAAAACGATGTTATCTCCTTCCCTTTACATGCGTACCCCGCGAGAGACCCGGGCAATATTTAAAGAGACGGCCGACCTAAAAAGCGGTGCGTGAATAATTCGCGATCGGTCCCGAATCGTCAGGCTTGTCTCCCGGTTTTCAGCCGCCCCCGCGAACCCGTCGTTGATCACAAGCCCGTCGTCGCAGGAAACAGACCGACGGGGGGTTCGGCGGGCCCCGAAGAGCCGACAATCGGGCGCAACAGTGACAACGAGCAATCAGCCTGCCGTATATCTACGGATCCTGTCGCCACGCATTTGTGCCCCATTGTGTCGACGAAGTAGGTGGTCGTTCTTTCTCTCTTTCTTTCTCTTCCGTATACTGCCTGGTCTCCAAGCTGCTGCGGCACAAAAGTACCACTGCACGACTCGCCCTTACCGACTTTTAACTTCAACCCTTCGTATCTCACTGAACGAACATGTTTACGGATATGTCATACATGTGCTATTACGATTTCCAGTACGACTGGCTTGTTCGGAGAAACATTTATATTATGAATTCGCGCTACTTTATACTTATATTTATTGTTCTAACAACAGTAATATCGTCAGACTATTTTTGATAAATTCGAGTACGTTAAAATCGTTCCTTAAACGTACTATATCGAAAGGCGAGAGAAAATAAAGAAAAAAAACTGTATTCGATATAAATTTGTCTTAATAGCATCTTGTTTAAAATGGACTCTTACGTACGTGAATAATCTTTTAAATATGGATACAGGACATATTTTAAGAAGTATAATTGTTTTAAGTATTGCCCTAAATTATTATTCAATAAATCACGTTTTTTGGAATCCATTAAATATGAATTAATAATTATTATTTTCTCTTACGTTTTTGTTCGTTATTTTCACTGTCACCGAAAATTATGTAAAATTTATTTTGCATAGATCAACGAACGGCAAAAAAAGTATCAAAATTAGTTGTCTAAAAATCCGAGCCGATGTCACACGATGTTTCTTCTGGACCTCACGTATCGTTTGCCTGTCCCCGTGTGTAATTCGCTATTCAATGATCCCCGCCCATGTTCCAACCCCCGTAAGCGCGGCACGGGGTTGCTTCAAGAGCGGCTCCTTTGAACGCCGCCTGCCTTTCTCTCCGTCGCCAATCCTACCAAATATCTTCCCCCAATCTGTTGCTTCAAAATTGCCCTGACCCCAATAGCGATGTGGTAGGTCAAGGACTGGTACAAAAAAAACGGCGTGGTCACGTATTTTTCGTGAGAACTTTCATACAATGCTAACATGCTTACAAAGTAGCTAAAATACAATGCTAACTTGCTATGCAGTAAACTTTTATTCGGAAAATTTTTTATTCGGAATAATTTGCAATTGTTTGTATCTTTGAACCAAAATAAGGGTAAAATGTTTGTAAAATAACTTGGTGTCAGTTGCTTTTGTGAGATAATTTTGATTTCGAAGAAATTACTTTTAAAATTCTATTTTTTAAGTAATTAGGTAAAATACGGTAATTAAATGGTTGCAATAAAGGATGATCTTATCGCAATAAGAGATGCATGTCACAAGTTAGCGAATGTATCTTCCCAATCATTTACTATAAACTGTCAATTTTTTGTTTTGTCAAATTCTTTTTTTAAGAATTTTATTATTTATTATAATTTTTAGCTGATCTTTGCTCTTCGGGTTTTTTTTTATTTTATAATTTATTATATAGTTTTTAGGCCGATCTTCGCTCTTCGCGTTTTCCAACACGGTAACCAGAACAGATGTACCGGCAACTGCAAAGCTGATAAGTGTGACGACCTCCCAGACTCAAACCGCACCCTCACGCTGGAAATCTGAGGGTGTCCTCACGGCCAATCCGTGCGTGCGCGTACATTGCGTGACTTCGGCCTGTATGCGCCGCGATGCATATCCGAGACATATATTTTTCACAGTGTAAAGTCGCTTTATGCGGACATAAAATGGCTAATGCGATTTTCTTCCGACCGATGCATTCTGGACAATATGTTATAAATTTCGACATAATTACCGTCAATTATTACTTAGAATTACTGGTATTACCTAACGCTCCTGAAAGTTAAAAATATCAAGTGCTGCTCTGTTAGGTAAAGAGGACGAAGTGGTAAAACAAAATGCCTCTGATATACCCCGAGCATTGGCTTCTCGGGCGTAATTGCTCTCATTAACTGTCTCAAAGGTGATACAACGGCATTGCGGAAATTCCACGCAGGAGTTAATCGTTCGATGATGCAAAATCCTTTCACTCTGCCATAACCGCTTTACGTCATTGCCCAAAGCGTTTTCTAACGCACAGCGTCTTAAAATCGTAATTTTTAGAACTAATTTATCGCTTCAGTCATTAGACTTAATCGCCGAAACTTAAGCAATAATAATGGGTTATAACAAAAATATACTTCCTCGTATATTTAATATATCGATTTACGATTTGTGTTGATCAATTAAAAAAAAATTGCATTTATTATAGAGTGGTATAGATTAGTGCTATTATATAATTTAAAAAAAATATAGCAAAGATTTCTTTATTTCGTTTAATAATAAAAATTCTGGTCAGCTGTTTGCCATTGTCGGCTTGGTTTTTTCTTTTCTATTAGTTTGTCGCCATATTTTTCTTTCTTTCTTTAGTTTACGTTTCTGCTCCGCGCAAACGAAGTGCCGACTATCGTCGGAGGGGAAATGAGATGGGACAAGCGAAAAACATACAGAACCAGTTCACGCGGACATGATGGCTGCTCCCCCTTAATGGCAAATGCAGCCCCCCGTGCGGTGCATCGTCGGCCCTTTTCAACCAATGGGATTGCCCGCCGCGTTTCGAACAATGGTGCGACCGAATAGATTAATCAAACTTAACCGAGCCAATGAAAGCCGTGCAAATCCCGCGTGGGGGATGCATGCGTGCGTACGTGCGTGCGTGCCGCCCGTTCGTGCGACTGTAAGCGAGCAGCAGTTGCACGCTGCTCGCCCATTTCGCGTCCTAGCGAAGTCATACCGGGGAGAACTATGAGAATACATCGTGATGCCGCGCCGGCATCATGGTGTTGCGAATTTAACGACGATCTCGAATCGACAGCGTTTCGGAAAGGAACCACCTTTGATACCGCGGAGACCTTTGCCCCGATCTGTCATCGAAGTCATTCGCGGTATATGAAATGACACTTTCTAATGATGGTTGTTGCTGATGCATCCATTGTTGCGTTGAAGGTTTATTAATCCTTTCTGCCCGCGGCGACTGTACCGTTCGCATACTGAATATAATCGTAAAGCCAACAACACTTAATAAAGAGATGGAAATGAGGCACTGAAAGATATATATAGGGTTGTTTCTAGAATAAAAATTATTTCTCAAAATTAATTAACAACGTCGCTTGTTTTTTAATCGTATCAGATTACTGAGATTGCGAGAGATCATGAAATTCACTCAGAACTAGGAAACGTTCGACTGAGCCCGGTCGTCGAGGTGCATTTCAACGTATTTTCGAAATGGCGCCGAGGGTACGCGTGAAGGTATCGAGAAGTATCAAGAGAGGAGAGTTTTTCGGGGGCTGCTGCTGCTGCTGTAACCAGGGCTTTGATGAATGAACCGGGGGCTTCATGCCGCCTCGGTTGGCGTTACCCACACGGCAGCTGGCCACGCCGCGTTGATTGGTCGCGCATCACGCCGCGTTTATGGATCTTTTGCAAAGCGATCGGCGCGTATACGCGTCTAAGGTCCCCCCTAACCAGGACCCCCGTAGATCCGCGTTGTTCTCGCGCGGGATACCAAGGTGTGCGCCCCTCGTACGCGAGCAGCCATGGCCGCGCCCGGCGAACTCCATGTTCGATGGAACGATGTTTATACATTTCCGAAAATCCACGACAATAATATTGCTATTACTATTATTACTGCTCGTTTGTATTACAAGCAATACAAATATTTGAAACAAGGAAAAACGCTACGGGAATAAAAAAAATAATACTCCGCGGCAAATGTACGAATAATATTAACGTTGGTAGCTGTGGAATTGAATGCAAATATTGGCCTAGTTTACACCGATCTCTTGATACGCGTATTAAATAGTATATTTGAGTTGATCAGCCAATAATCAAACTAATTTACTAGTTATTTACTATTTAATACGCGTATCAAGTGATCGGTGTAAACTAGGCCTGTATGAGTATTGTATTTGGCTTGGTCAATTACGGCAATTGTCAAGTTATGCAACATTGATTTTGTAACTGTCATATTAGCAAAACTTCTTTCACTAGCAATTCTGCATATTCATGCCATTTTGTCTCAATCGCGGGAGAAACGAGTATCTTACGTATCCTAATACATACTTCGACAGCTTTCGAAGATCTTCGGTGATTTTCTGATCCTAGTCGCAACACGCTTGAGGATCGGGGGAAACGGAGAGGGTTCCCAAGTCTTTTGAGCAGAACTAAGTTCGTAACGCGTGATGACATGCTTACTTACGCCAGTTGACGCCGATGCTTTTACGCTTTTCGGCCGGCGACCTGCAACGGAGAATTTGATTAGGTCAATTATGCGGCGCCGATCGGATCTTCACGTGAAATTAGATTGGCCACGTCGGTTATTACGCCACAAACGGCCTTTTTATCTAGCTGCAGCCACTTGTGGGGCGTTCCGTCGCACGCTCGATCTCTATCTCTAGGCTTATGAGGCGGTGCTAATTTAATTCGCATCTAAAGCAATATCGCTACCATTAAGAATTGTGTAGAACAACATGTCAATCCGACGCATACAAAGCGATTCATTCGGATTTTGACACTTGAA